CCATGCTTTGATATATTATTCATTCCATTTTTATCAATAGAAAATGCTCTATAATCGAACTTCTCCATTATTTGTAGCCTAGGAAAGGGCCGCGTTAATCGGACAGGAATCGGCTCTACTGTAACAACTGCGGTAGAAGTCCACCTTGCCTCCTCCCCATCATCATCGTTATGCCTGGAACCAATTTAGAGCATGCTTGTGCCGAATGTAAACGGTTAAAGTCAGTTTATGGAATGAATGACCCTCTAAGCCGAAGATGAATCCACACCCACAGGTTGAAATGTGACAAGAAGCTACCTTGTGGTTCTTGCGTTAGAAGAGGGTGTTCTACGATATGTCCAGATGGTCAGCTTGTGCCCGGAAGAGGAACGAGGCTCGTTGTTATTGATACACTGGCAGCGAGAGCAGTTTACTAAAATCAATTCATTATTGCTTAGATTCATCCTCAGTGACACCAAAGAACTACACGAAGAGATCACGGCCCTAAAACTACGAATAAATCAACTAGAGCAAGCATTAGCAGAACTTCAAGCACAGCTCACTCCTGAACCTCACCCATTACTCGCCCAGTCCTTGAAGGCAGTAACAGAAAGCTTACAATCAGACCATGGGACATCCAAAATAACCATATCAGAAGAGGAAGAACTGATCGACACATTTGGGTCTCTGACTATCGATCCCAAGGGGGAAACCATTTGGTAAGATGGTTCTTAGGTGCGATAGAATGGTGGTGGTCTGACTAAAATTAGGTATGGTCCACATGCAGGATCTGAATTTCTTATTCCTGTGAGTTTTGGCTATGTTAGTTCACTCTAAGTTGATTTTTGTACTAATCTCGTTCGAATTAGAGACACGAAAATAATCTCCCAATCGATGGTCCACACGGGCTCCCTCTCGATATTCTCTTTTTGAGCAGGCAATTTCCTTTCAAGAATATATGTGACAAGGAGAACTCAGCTCGTGCTATCATCAGAGATAGTCTTCCCCCTCAGAGTGTGGCTTTTGAGATCACCTACAGTCACCATTTGCGAACATCTTGGGCGTGAGTGAACTATCTTGATACTTTTGGCCCCTCTGTTAATGAAAAATCAAGTTCAACGTCTATAAGATGGGAGGATTTCCGTCAGATGATCCTGGAACCGGTATATTCGCCTCAAAACATCGCCAATGACCAACAAATCGCAATTCTCTTCATCAGTCTTGCCCTTGCCATTCTTGCAGATCCAGATAGACCTATGTATCACCCTGATGCTCAGCGTTATTATCACTTGTCGAAAGCCTCCATATCACTAGGCGAGGTCGGTGAAGTTTGGTGTGACTGCCCAATTGACTGACCATCACAACAGGACATATTCCAATCACGTTCTCTATATACTATACGATACCTAGTGCTTTTCATTTTCTACTTGTTCCCCTCTCCGTACTAATCAACCCTAAAGCGATTACTTACAGCATACAATAACGCGATCAATGACCCAAATGGGAGGAATAAGGCCTGGGTGTTCATGGGTTTAGCAATCAGGCTGGCACAAATGGTGTGTTTTCAATCAGTTTCGTTACTCAACTAACCTGGTATTACCCAAGGCAGGACTTCGTGAGCTTTGTTGAATATTGAAAATGACTGGAAGCTGACGCACCTTACATGAAGACCGAGATAATGAGCAATGGGACAAGTACCCAGAGGAAGCGGACCGCCGCAGGCGAATTTGGTGGGAATTATTGGAAACTGAAACTTCACAAGGATTTGTCATGGGCCGCCCGAGATCGATATATCCTGCGTCAGTCATATTCACGTCGATCACCAACAGGTCAGCCTTATTTCTTTCAGGCAATACGACACAAGAATGCCAAAAGACGACGAGGATGAAGGCAAACCTCCTTCCTGTGAGACCTTAAGGTGGTTTATGAATGTTCATTGCTGACCAATTCAAGATACTCGCATTTTGAACCGATGGATTGTGGAATGCCTCGGGTATATTCTGGATGAAGCCTTTGCGGCCAAACCTCCTCCTTATGGCAAGATCCTTCAGTATGTTTTTCTGAACCCTTTCTTCTTTCTTTTAACCTGAGAAAGAAAGTTTGGATAAAAAATGCCGCGACTGGGATGTGGGCATTCCTCCCTTCGGAGATCTACCAACAACCCATCACCACGATGTAGATGATGCTTTTCTAG